ACAAAACAGCCAGTGAAAACAGTATAGAAATCTCAGAAGCCCCTTGCAAGCACAAAAGCCAATTCCATTCCTGAGATGTCTGCCTCGCGCGTTGTTATCTGCTCTGATAGTGCCTTATATCTCAGACATTATTGCCAGACATTAGGTCCTGCTCCACCTGCTTTGTGCTTCCCCTCACTAGCCCTCCCCGGGTCATGGCATTCCTGGAGGGCGCAGAGCTGCTGTAGCGGCTCGAGGTGTGTTAGTGGGGTGGGCTGCTGGTCATTAAATACACTCGGGGAAGGAGGGCACAGAAACAAAGGTGAGGGGAGCCTTCCAGCAGGCAGGGATGGACTGCCGGGAACATTGCTGGGGTGGTGTCAGGGCTGGTCTGCAGAGGCATTCTGGCTGTTACGTGCATTCTGTCTTGGCTTCACTGGAGAAGAGTGTCTTTCCCGTCTCTAGGAGGAGGGTCTGTGATCAGAGGCCTTGGTGAAAGGGAAAGAAATCATGGTAGAAACGTAGGCCTGCACTGCCAGCTCTCCGCCATTGTCTAGGCAGGTTTCCCTATTCCAGCGGAGGTGAGGGGGACCCAGAGGAGCACTAGGAAACGAGGGAGAATGTTCAAAACTGGCTCATTTTCTGTGTCTCGCCTTCAACCTATTAAACAAAATCCCTGAAATCCCACCAGCCCCCAAGCTGGCCCCTGGGAGGGAAACACTCTGATTTCATTAGCAAATCAAGCCCCGCTTCATCGACATTTCCGGGGTGACTTTAGCTCTGGCAGTTCCGCTGTACTGAATCACACAGCAACGCAACGGTGGGGGTTCGAAGTACTCGGCGTTGGCGTCACTCTGCCCCCCCTTGGCTTGACGAGAGCGCTTGCCTATGGCTTTAGCGGGGACAGGCTAGGCCATGGCTGAGTGCTTCTGAAGCTCCCCCGCAGCATCCAGAGCTTGGCCTGGTGCTCCCTTACATGTGGGAAACGGCTCAGAGCTATGCTGAGTGTTGGACTGCTGGAGCTGCAGTGCCGTGGAGGCCAGCACGTGGCGTGACCAGAGCCCTCCTTCACCACAGAGAGACCACTAGAGTGAGGGGCTGGGAGCATTTCGTTCCCTTTTCCCAGCAGCATGGCCCAGGGCGGTTGCTTTTCAGTTAGTTTGCTCAGTTAGCTTTAACCCCCTGTGTAGGTTTGCCCCAATAAAACCAGTCTTGGTTGATTGCACGAGCGCTCGGCCATGTCTGACTTCCCTGCTCTCTGTATGTGGCAGGCACGTGGAAGACAAATCGACAGTGTTTGGCACAGCGCTCAACTACACGTCCCTGAGGATCCTGGGGGTTGGGCCGGATGACCCGGACCTCGTGAGGGCTCGGATCAACCTCCACAGCAAAGGTCAGCATGTGGCTGGAGCTCTCTGGCATCCTGTCCTCCCCCCAGCAGCCATGGGGCTGGGACTGTTGAGAAGGGCTTGCCCAGCTCCGAAGGGGTGAGTGGTAGGCGAGGGGACATGCGGCCAGAGTGGCATGAGCCTTTGCAATGGCTTGTCCTTGGCTGTATGGCAGCATGTGCAGTTCACACATTAGTTTCTGCCCTGGTGCCCTTAGCTTCTCCCAGCTTGGCCTGGCTGTCGCAGCACGTGTGGCATGTCACAGCCCATGCTGCATCCTGCTGTGCCAGCACCCTGCAGCGCTTACCTTCTGGGGTGATGGTGAAACCTCAGCTCCTTCACCGGTTGCAAACGCTTCCGTTTGGGAGGCAGGGCACTCATGAGCCCTGCAAACATCCGGTCCATCTCAGCAGTCGGTTGTGGTTAAATCGCCGTCTCCAGCCCCCCTCATGTGGTCTCACCAGCTGCACCTTGCACAGAAAACGTGTCCTTCCCAGGTGTTGTTTCTGAATGGCTGTGTCTGTCGGTGTGCAGTGCCCGTCATGCGCCCGCTGCACCGGCCTGCAGCTCTCCAGGGCCCCTGGCTGGTCACACGACCAGACCAGGATTCAGGAGCCTCTGTTCATGCCCTGTCACATGGCAGGGTCCGTGTCCCTGGCCCCCGTGGCTGCCGTCAGAGCCCAGATCTGTGTCTGTCTCTCCAGGGGGTGCTGTGGGAATCCCGTCCTGGGGGAAGTTTTGGCTGGCCGTCTTGAACGTTTACAGCTGGGAGGGAATGAACACGCTGTTCCCTGAGCTGTGGTAGGTGCTATTCTGTATCTGCAGAGTGTATTGATTTTCAGTCCCAAGCCACAGCCCCATCCTCTCGCAGCAGCACCCAGCAGAGAGCCTGACGCCGAACACCAGGGACCTGAGAGTAATCCCCGGCCTGCACCAGTCTCCCGTTCAGCCTGGGCCAGGAGGCTTCGGGCACAGAAACCAGGCACCATTCCTGGCACGGGGCGTGGGCTGATGCGGGAGGGATGTTCTGTTGATGACCTTCCTCCCCCATCCAAGCTCAGCCCACCTGCTTGACCTCCAGCCTTCCTGCCCTCTCTGCCAGCCTCCAGACCCACACGTTGCGCTCTCCCCAAGTCCCTCCCTCTTGGGGCTGAACCTGTGCTGGGTCCTGACACGGTTCCTCCCCATTTGGCATGCCATGGCTGTCCCTGTCCTGGAGCTGGGCGTGCTGCAGACTCCCCCAGCCCTCAGGGACAGCTGGTGCCCGAGCTGGCCATGGGGCCAGGAGCAGGGGACAGTGTGAAGCGAGGGAGTTCAGGCAGCTGGCTGATTACAGGGAAACTAGTGGCAGCATTGCCCACTGGCATGTTCCCCGCTGGAGA